ACTTTGGTTCTTACGAAGTTACTTACTGAGTATCGGCCTACAATTTGCTGCTGCTACGGGTACTTAACACAATTAGGGAGGAGCATTCTTTTCTTGAGGGCACTTTAGCGGGGATGCATGGTACTGTACCGTCTCTCTTGTGTGGAGACTTTATCAAAATGAGAGTCATGAAGATACAGCATCTTATACTACTGGTTACACATCCCATTAGAGGGCGCACTAGATACATCTTTTTCGGGTGCAACGTGTTTATGTGAGTATTGAAAGCTCTGTTTGTTGAGAAATCTTAAGCTTGAATAATAACTTAAGCTAGAGTGCAGGTATGTGGCTTTAAAAGCCCAGCTCAATAATAACCAGACTGCCATTCCTACGCGCTTTAAATAGACTTTTTTCCAAACTTTTTATGTTCAATTAGTTTCAATTCAATATATTTAGTTAGTTCATTTAGTTTCAATTAAATTATCCGTGAGTCATTGCTTCGTCGTCGTAGTGAACCAGGTTTGGCAGTAGTATACAGCTAATAAGTGAGCTACGGTGACGTCGCGTTAATTTTTTTTTTTTATTTACCGATAACCAAGTGGTTTCTTTTATCTGTTCTGTGTTAGTTATAAATAAATGCAAGCCTTACTTATTTTCACTGGCAACAATATTGCCCAGGTTATCATATTATTTATAGAGTAAACTTCTGTCAAATTGTATTTCCCTTTTGGCAAAGATAGCCACAGAAACTTAATCTTTTTGGCAAATTAAGCCACAGAAACCTAATCTTTTACGGAAAGTTAGCCACTGAAATGATTCAATTTATTATTCATTTAACTAATCCTATTGTATTGTATTGTAATGTGTTTGTAATGTATTGTTCTTGTTTACATGTTTGTAGTCATTTATTATTGAATGCGGGGCCCCAATGGAAACCAGTTTTTAACTGTTTAGGCATACCCCGGGTAAAGAAATGAAATAAATAAATAAATAAATAAATAAATAAATACATAAATACATTTGGGTGCACGTCTTACTACTGATGAGAGCATTTTATTCTGGTAGCTATGAATTTGATACGTGTACAAATCAATGGAAGGAATCTCTAAGGAGGATTTGTACACCAGCTCACTTTGACATTCTAGCGGAAGAAAGTCCGAGGGCAGTGGTTAGCGGGCGAAGTAGGATCACTCGTGGGTGCGTTACGGGGAACTGATCCTCAAGGAAAAGGGAAAGGGGAAACTTTCTCTCTCTTAGTCTCTAGACAAGATGAGAATCTACGCACAATGCTATGGATTAATTTAACTATTAGTTAGGGGATGTAATCTGACCTGTAGTGTACCGAATACGTAGCAGGTTCGTGGGTAGTGGAGTGGTTTAGCGGTACACACTCGCTATTAGGTGTTAAGTTTCACTGAGGGTTTCATACACGGGTACGTTTATGTCGGTCAAAATGCGAGGGTGTGTAAAATCGTAACAGTTTTTACATTTCAAGAATTAATTTTCTTTGACCTGCCGCTAGAGGGCGTCCTTTCAGAGGACGACGTTATTATTACCTGTTTTGATGGACAATTTTTTTTTTACAGAACATAATATTAAAAAGTTATATTTACTTATCGTTGCACTTCCAGTAACACTAGAATTATATGTCAACCGGTTTGTGCCGTGGGATCAAAACTATTGCCCAAGACAATATCTACTAAAAATGAAAGAAATATAGTTACAAAATGGTTTAAGGTTTTGACCTTAATTTGCTTGCAATAAGAAATGTGACGACGTCACGATGACGTCACATTTGTTCACATCTTTGGACAAGGGCGAATGTTTGTACAAGGTTTTGTCGTCATCTCTTGAAGCGTTTGGCAGACATTGCGTTTGTTTTAAAATTCACGCTTCTTTTCGGTATTTTGAATTCTCCTAACTTTGATCTTCCGTAAGCTCCGGAAGTAAAGGTCAAACGACTTCACGTACACGACAAACAAAACAATTTCAAGGCATAGCCTGTCAGCTTATTAAGTATTTTGGAAAAGGGATGGCACTGTCCCATTCAGTGACACTTCTTCTCTGGTGACTTGTATGGCTTAATATGGATTTTAAGCATGAATTAGTCTTTGCCGGTTATGTCCGATTGAAATGAACAGTGGGCGGACATAAGAGATTAAGTGACTATGATAGGTTGGGTAATCAAATGTGATTAAAGGTGCGAGCAGAGGATTATGTTCGCAAATCCTCTTTTCATGAGTTATGAACGGAACAGTATGTTCAGTTTTTAATTAAAATCGATTGTAATTTGGTTACCCCATCACTCAATTAATCGTGGGTACAGGCGCCTCTTGGGTCCTCCAACATGACAGTCAGGAGAGGTCAGAGAGTGTCATCTACTGCCAATATACCCTGTTCAATGTACAAATGGGATGAGGACACATGGAGAAGTTGTTGATGTATTTTTTACGAAGTCTATTGACAGCTTAAATTTTATAAGTTTTGCAATTTGCAATGAAATGCACATGGTAGTAAACCAGTCCCAGACATCTTCGGCCTGTGTGAAGTTCAGATAACATTCGCAGCTCAATGACAAGTTAGGAAGTTGATACTGTTGTGGCGAAACGAGCTATACACCCTTTGTGGCGGGAATAACTAGGTGACCCGACAGTCTGACCTGATCAAAGAATGGAATTAAACCTGGCCTTAACCCACGAAAGTATTTATAAACCTCGCGCAAGAATGAGCGGTTACCCTGACGCAAGGGGGATATAGTTAACGAACGGCGGACTTAGCCCTAGGGGCTGTTCGTTTGGCGGAAATATACCACCGATCTGTGGTTACGTACTTGACTTTATTGACAACAGAGGAGACTAACTTATTCAGATATATCTCAAAGAGAGCGGGACTACATAGGCTTCACAGTGAACCTCAATAACCCTCACGGGGACAAGTGATTCCAAGACGTCAATCAATTAGTTTATTCCTTTAGTACACTTCAAATATAATGTCAATGCGTCACCATTCAATAATTATACAATGATAAACCTCACCGTCAAGATAAATCCAGGTAAACCTCGCTGAGGTAAGGGGCGCTAGTAAACCTCGCTATTAGAATAAGCACTAGTAAACCTCGCTGTGATAATGAACACTAGTAAACCTCGCTGTTAGCTGAGGGGTCAACTGCACCCCTTGTCATTAGCTTATACAATTATAATCTTCGTACGGCTCTTGGGTCAACTGCACCCTTTAGCTTATACAATTATAATCGTCTGGTTCAACAGCGGTCAACTGCACTCCCTTATGATTAACTTGCACAACTATAACTTACAGCTTAGCAGGGTAATTCAGTTAAGGTAAACCTCACTTGGGTATACCTCACCTATACTTCTCGGGATTCCTAGTTTATAAAGTGGTCGTCTGCACCACTGACTTAATTAGATAAGGCCTTAAAATGCACAGGGGGAGGTAAACAACAAAATCCAGCTTTACTGACCGATCGCTCTCAGGCACGCTGGGGCTTTCTCCCGCTCCAGTCCGTTTACCCTGACCAATCGCACCGGGGTGCACGCCGGGCTTTCTCCCACGACGTCGCTCGCTTCACACGGTGAATTCAGCACTTTGCTTCGCAGTGTCGCAACAGGCTTGTTTACACGCGGAAAGCTCACTGAGGTCTCCACCACGAGTGCCGAACCCACGCCAGGCCACGAGGCAATCGCCCCAGACCATGCCGGACGCACGCTGCTGATTGGTCGCCCCACAGTATCACGCGCTAAAACACGCAGGTTGACGTGATGCTTCTGAGGCTAGACTTGATATCAGTCTACACATACCCCTGTTTCGTTACACTATTCATACCATCCGTTAGTATGTCTTGCGATACTATTGACAAGGTATATATGACCACCAAGTTTTGGTCGTACAATTCGATGTTGGTACAAGTGTCAGAAGAGAAAAGCAGGGATCTCAGTTGGGTCTAAACAGTGCATATGATGAGAAAGTAGAATTAAGATCGACTTCCTGATGCCACTGACCCCAAGTGTCAGAGTACATGTCTTGGTCCAAGACGTAAATGTGCATATCCATTTTAGAGCCCAGGGCTAGGGACGGCGACAATGGTATCAAAGGTTGCACTGAGTTGATTTAACCGTCTTGGATTTGTCCCAACAACTGATCTAATTTTGAGTCCACAGCTCGGAGTTATGTGGAATCAGGAGAATAAAAAAAAATCCTTTAAGTGTCCTTTCTTTAAAAAAGACATCGTGTTTGCAAAACAATGTTCAGGTAAATGTTTTTTTTTTTTTTAACAAGGGTCTCTCAATGTGTACCAGCTTCCAGTAAATCAGAGAATCAGCGAGGGTGAACTCATCTTTACGAGAAGCGGTCAATACACGAATGCAACGGTTTGGTTAAAAGCCAGGAGTTGTGTGAGAAATGCTACCTCTGCATTTCAAATCGCTCTTGAGGCAGTACGTGGATACAGCCGGAGGTCGGACATAGCAATCGATGACATTAATACCGGTATGGTTGTTTTTCTTCTTTTCTATTTCTACTCAAAACCACAATAAATTACGCTACCCCGGATCTGATCAAATAAATTTCCCGTTTTCTCCCAAATTATACACTGACATCGTCGAACATTGTCAGAATTGAAGGATCATGATTTTTTCTTTGCAACTTAACACATTATTGATTGAACATTATAATTACTTCGCCCTTTTGATAAACCTTGGACTACGTTCTCTTTGTTAATTAGTTTTCATCGTTTCGTTCATTGTTTCGTGGTCCCTTTATTTGTTTCCTTCCCCTTTTCAACAGTTTTTGCTCGAATGTTTCTCTTCGATTCAACTGAAGACTTTCCTTCTAATGCTGGAATAGCAATCCTTATTGAAAGAGAAGATCATGAATTTACGTGCTCGATAACAGACGTAAACTGCGAAGTGGAACTTGTTTGGACCTTGTCTGGCCAGCTAGTCAAACAATTCAGTAACAGAAGCGTCGTCACCATTCACGGATGGGACGTTAGTAGTACTATCGTTATGTCACCTAACAGAGGCATCCACGGAAAGGCACTACAATGCGAAGCGTTTGACGCAGATGGTGAACTGATCGACAGTATGATTGTTACAATCAATGTAGAAGGTGAGATGCAATTTGAAAAGCTTATTTTGAAGTGAAAAAGTACTCGGTCGTTTATCTACTCTCTCAATTCCGGCGATTGGAAATTCACTCAAAACGTAACGTTTGTTGTTAAGGGGCCAAGCAATACATAAGATTTAAAATGTTAAGTGTTTCATTCTTTACTTTTGATGGAATATCTTTTTCCCCTTTATGTCTTTGTTTCCATTGAATGCACTGGCTTAATGTTTAGCACAAAAAGCATTGTAATCCTGAACACACAATCAACAGAAGTAATGTAAATTGTAAATTATTTTGCTTTAACTTTTAAGTTAAATGTTATGTACATTTTTACGATGTAAAGTTGCATCTTATTATGTTTTAACACTTGAATTTTACTGAAGGTTTTAAAAACAATTTTGTACAACATTTTCTTTTGGTTGAGAGTTAAGGGCAATTTCTGTTCTTCACTTCATTTTGACTTACATCGACAGAAACAATAATCTTACAAAAAAATCATGTAGAGAGAGTGGAACATTTTTAATTGTGTTTTGTTTTGTCTTTACTTGAGTTCTCTGTGCAGTAAGGACCCTTGTGGCAGGAAGGAGCCTCCTGTGGTCGAGTCTACCTTGTGTTAGATGACTTTTCTTACAAGACCTGCTTGAAAGAATTTTTTTGAATATTTTAACCACAAGTTAATTCTGCTCTGCCGCCTTCCCCGAGCCTGAGATGTTCCCCCCTTTAATTCACTTCCCGCGCACCAACTGCCAATGCACTACCCCATTCTGGATTCCACCTATGCCCCACCCGAGCTGGTATATTACTGCCCCCCAACACCACCATGTCACACCCCAGCCCCCCCCCCCCCCCCCCCAGCCAGGCCTCCCTTTTATCATGCCATTGCATTACGGCAACTAAATTACCGTAAAAATTACGGTCAAACTGCGCAGAAGTTACGGTCACCGTCATTCCAGGAGCCCGTAACTGACCGTAATTTTACGGTTTTTCGTTGGCAACCCGTTTGAGCGGCATTTTACCGTAAAATTTCGGGCAATTTTTTTCCAGAGCATCATAAAAGTGTTGTAGGTCTCGAGACCGGTCTCAGTCTCGGTCTCGGTCTCGAGACCACTTTTTGCCGGTCTCGGTCTAAGTCTCGGTCTCGGGAGCTGTGGTCTCGGTCTTCGTCTCGGTCTCGGTCCCCTTTGGTCTCGATATTTTGGCTGGTCTCGAGTCGAGACCAGCCAAAAAGTGAGGGGGCGGATTCCGCCCCCGGCCCTTTTAGGGTTTAGTAAAGAATCAGTTTAGGGCAAATGTGACTGCAGTGTGATGCTAATGGAGATGTCTCTCATCACGTCCTAGTGAGTGAGGCATAGTCCAATAACCATTGCTCCTCTTCTTACTTTTCGTTTTTATTGTGGGATGATCTGTTGAAACAAGCACTTTATAGCCTTCCTCATTGATTCCAAATACAACTGAGATTTAAATCTTATGAATCAAGACTGAATCATTATTTTTACCGTCAGATTTTGTTTTTGAATGTGGGGAACAATCCAACTCTTTTTCCCTAGAAATGTTGGTGATTTTTTTTCTATTTTCCTTTTCAATTTTTCCTTTATTCGTGGAGGCGGGAATACGTTTTTTTTCCATTATATTTATAAATGGATATTCATCAATGCGTAGACCGTTAAATTAGTATTAGTCGTGGAAAGCTGAATTTTGTGATCTCTTTATTAAAATAGACACGACTTGGGAATAGAGTATGCAAATTACGTGAAATGTTCACAGTAACTAATCAATAACATGTTCTTTATCCCAATTGTATTTTTTACAAAATGAAGCGTGCCATTTTTTTCTTCATACGGTCATTTTCTTTTTGACTCGCCATGTAATCTGTTTACTATATGCTGTTTACGGCCATCACAATAAACTTTTAATATATTGGCAATATGTGGTACTTGTTAATCACTAAAATATTCAAGTAAATCGCCCGGCAAAGTAGCCGATGCGGGCGATACGCTGGCACGGTACAAAACACAGAGAGGCGTGCGCACTGAGCCATGAATCCTAAAAGTACATCTCGCCCACCACATTCAGTTTGTGACAGCGCCCTTCTATTGTGTCGGCCATATTCTCAAATAGGCTAATGACGATGATGACGGCGGGCTGATTAACAGAAGATAGATCAGGCAAATATGGTTCATCAATCTTATATAGTATATGTAACGTTATTGACATTAAACAAAAATAAAGTGGCATTACATTTCAGCCTTAGCCAGGCCTTCTTCAGAGGTAAGTGACAGAGGAACAGGAAACAAACATGTAGGGGACACACAATCATGCAGGGTTGGAAGGAGAATCACAAAGCGGGATGTGGGGGAGGGGGGGGGGGGGGAGACCAATCCATATCTGGCTACCATCTCTCAATTGTTTTGGTCTACATGTACAAATCTATATTCCATGACTAAAATAAATCAATATTTTCTTCCTCCAAATTTTGTTCGAATCAGGTTTACAAGGAGGTCCAATGTAAAATTAAAGTTGCATTTGAATATCCGTTAGTGGTCATTGCTGAAACCAAGGGGTGGCTGTGGAATTTAGGGTCCAAGTTCCTATAACAGATGAAACATCCACCTTTAACTTTATACTTTTGTCAAGTTTCAACATTTTCAAGTTTTGCAAAAACTAGTACAAATTGTCGTACTCCTAAGTTAGAATTTCTTCATCAGATTTACACTTTATAGGAGTTAAAACAAAAAATAAAAAAAATATTTTTAAAAAAGTGGCAAAAATATATGGAGTTCATCAAATAAGGTTTCCCCTTCTTTAAATTAGGTTGCTTCCAATTTTTTTAATTGATTGTGAAAATAACAAATTCTGTTGCCATGTTGTAATTTATGGCATGAAGCAAACACGAAGAGCACTCGCACGACACAATTAAGCTGGTACAAGTGATCCTAACTTTCAATCACTTCCTTCACATCCCCATGAACATCAACATCTCAAGGACAGACTGTTCAGCTGTAATTAGTGTCTTGTTGTTTATTTAGATTATTGTTATTTATTATCCGCGGTCTCGGTCTCGGTTTCGGTCTCGGACCATTTCGGTCTCGGTCTCGGTCCGCCTTGAAGGGGCTGGTCTCGGTCTCGGTCTCGGTCTCGCAACTTCAGGTCTCGGTCTTGGTCTCGGTCTCGGACTATCCGGTCTCAACTACAACACTGGAGGGCGCTAAACAACCATGTATGCGGAAGTAGTTTGTGAAAAGAAAAATTGCGGCCCTGCCGCCCGCACCCACTGCTCCCGCCGAAAATATCGCGTCCCACGTTATCCAAACTTGCACTTGTGATTGGATCATAGTGCCACCACGTGATTCCAATTACTTCTCTGATTGGATATAACGCATAGTCAACTTTGTCGAATTGAACAACCTTGTCATGCATATCAATAGTGTAGACTGCGTATTTGACCCCGTTTTTTTGTGGAGGATCATATCGGTAACCCCGACGAGGATCATAATACGGGGTGTGTCTGTTGCGTGGTGACGTAATGGATCGATGGACAAATCGATAATAAGGTGGGGGATTAGCGATGAATGAGTATTGTTGGTATAGATAATTGGTTACACAAAAGAAGGGGGTAAACAGACGGATATTAGAGAGAGCACATAGCGGGCGCACATTTTAAGTGTGTTTGTTTATGCCGGTTCCCGATGAGGAGGTAAATGTACACATAAATCATATTTAAAGCGATTTATTGTATAGTGTACTGAAGATACCTATTCAGTATAGCCATTCATAGCATTTCATTTGTTTTTCTTCTTCTTTTGTTTTTTTTAATGCTTTCGATGATGTTGATTGGACCAATCACACCAATTTAAGGACTTCTATATAACAAGATTTCATGCTCCTTTCTTGATCATTCGCTCATCTCTTGCTCATTTGCTCTTTCCTTGCTCATTTGCTCATCCTTGCTCATTTCTTGCGCATTTGCCCTTTTCTTGCTAATTTGCTCGTTCCTTGCTCTTTTCTTGCTCATTTACTCTTTCCTTGCTAGTTTCTTGCCCATTTGCTCTTTTCTTGCCCATTTGCTCTTTCCTTGCTTATTTGCTTATTCATTTCTCATTTCTTGCTCATTTGCTCATTCCTTGCCTATTTCTTGTGCATTTGCTCATTCCTTGCTTATTTCTTGCTCATATAATATTCTTGCTCATTTCCTGCTCATTTTTGCTCATTTTGTCTTTCCTTGCTCTTCCCTTGCTCATTTCTTTGTCATTTGCTCTTTCCTTGCTCATATGCTTATTCCTTGATCTTTTCTTGCTCATTATTTGCTCATTCCTTGCTCTTTTTTTACTTATTGTCTTTTCCGTGCTCATTTCTTGCGCATTTGCCCTTTTCTTGCTAATTTGGTCATTCCTTGCTCACTTGCTCTTTCCTCGCTAATTTTCTTGCTCATTTGCTCATTTTGCTGCCTATTTGCTCTTTCCTTGCTCATTTGCCTATTCCTTGCTCTTTTGTTGCTAATAATTTGCAAATCCCTTGCTTTTTTCTTGCTAATTGTTTATTCCTTGCTAATTTTTTTTGCGATTTGCCCTTTTCTTGCTAATTTGCTCATTCCTTGCTCTTTTCTTGCTCATTTTGCTCTTTCCTTGCTAATGAGCAGGAAATGAGCAACAATATTATATGAGCAAGAAAGAGCAAGGAATGAGCAAATAAGGGCCTTATTTCTTGCTCATTTGCTCTTTCCTTGCTCACTTAGCTGGCCATACGCACATTTCTTTTTCACTGATCAGAGAATGAGCACCGATTTGCGAATGGGAAGCGAAATGAGCAGATTAGCAAGAAAAGAGCGAAAGACCAAATGAGCAAGAAATGAGCAGGAAATCAGCAAATTATGAGCAAGAGAAGAGCAAGGAATGAGCAAATGAGCAAGGAAAGAGCAAATGCGCAAGAGAAGAGCAAGGATGAGCAATAAGCAAGAAATGAGCAAGGATGAGCAAATTATGAGCAAAAAAAGGCCAAGGAATAAGCAAATGAGCAAGAAAAGAGCAAAGAAAGAGCAAGAGATGAGCGAATGTGCAAGAAAAGAGCAAGAAATCTCGTCATATAGAAGTTTTTAAATTTTAATAGATCCAACTCAGGCCTTGTGACCCACAAACGGCCTGCCAAAGATAACTCGTCAACACAGTCAACATCGAAATCAATGGACAGCCGAAGAGTGATGAGTTTCTATCGCGGCTGAAACTACACGCAAATAAATATGTTTTCAAAAACAACATTGAGTTTCCATTGTTCATCACAGTTCATCGCAGGTGTGAAACTTAGACTGACAGAAGGAACTCCCTCGAAAAGACAAAACTCTCACAAAACATCAGACCCTTGAGCTAGGGTGTAATTTTTTACTCGTGAGGCATCAATGCATCTTCCCGTTGATGCATACAGCTCTAGGCTTTAATGTAGAAACTTTGGAGGCACACGCTCCTCTGGGCAGAGAAATACTTGTCAGCATACAACGCTATACCTGTCACAAAGAATCACTGGATAACTATATGTTTAACAGTAAAAAGGACGCAATTAAAACTCGATATGGTCTACGACAATCATGATGTGCATCCTAACCTGACATGGTTGCAGCCATGAAACATATACCTCCAAGATAAGACAGCACTCCGAGAATTTCTCGGCGCGGCGGCAACACCTTATATCTTCATTCCGCACCTGTCTCAACACTGAGCAGATCTCGAGTGCTCCTGAAGCATTCATGTGGTCTTCTTCACACCTGATGGCATTCTGGAAGGTCAAAGATCTCATCTAAGTCGAGACGATGCAAACCTACTTCTACGGTCGACACAGCGGCATAACTGATATATTGTTTTTGTGAAATTTAAAATGTTAAATGGAGGCGGAACCGGAAGCAGGGACCTCTGCCGGAGGGCACGTGCCCCCCCCCCCCCCCAGTCACTACGCCACTGCTCCGACTCAGTTATACATAGAGCTAGGACCCAGATTAAATCACAAAGAATCTTCTTGGAATTGCCATTGTTCGGGATAAAGGAAGTTTCATTTCAAAAACCTGCAAACAGTTTCAGGGTTTTATGCCGACACGAGAAAATTTGCTTTTCAGCAAGGACTTGAGATTTTTGTTCATCATGAACCCATACACATTTAGTGATTTTTCAATACAAATCTACAATAAACATGGGAAGCAACTTACCTCTTTTATTTTTGCTCTTTTCCCCTTCTGCTTTCTTTGACGGCATATCAACGGACGTACACGTATCCTCCACAACTCCTTGCTGACAAGATGACCTGGCTGCCATGCCTGTAAAAGTTTAAAATAAAATTAGTAGGCCGAAACAATCTGAAATTTTCCCACATATGCTATCGTAATACAGGCGTAAATTAGGGAAAGATTCCCATATCAGGCCATCATTAATTTTTCCTTTCAGTGACGAATCAGCCATCAAAAAGTGATAAAATGTCTCAAGTTTAAAAGTCAAAGTTAGCAGGGAAAATATTGAAGTGGAGAAATGTTGCAACTTGAGGCCACTTCCGATCGGCAGTTGTGTACAAAGTCTAAGGAGAGTCAAGAAAATTTGGAAATAAAACTCAGTCCCAGATTTATGTCTTATTATCATTTTTGCAATGACTGACCTTTATTGAGATGATATATATGAAGAAAAAAAGTAGACATTTTTTCCCTTCGAAGTATTTCCTACTGAGAAAAATTAGAAATTTTCAGACCAGTCTCATCGCTCATTTTCATACGGTTTGTGCACAGCATGCACAGGGTGAAAAGTGCTGGCCAGATATGGGAATCTTTCGAAAAGTAGTCCAAAACAGATGCTCTTTATTGCAAAAAATCACACTTTTTCACCTGATGCTGAGGCCTACAATTTTCACAGATCCAACCCTCCGGGGCAAAGCATCTGCCGTCCGCGTCCATCGGTAGGCCTGCACACTCGGGATGGTACCATTTCACCGCACATTCGGCATCTGCACATGCTACCATCGCCATCGATACTGTCGGTTTTTGATCACAAATACAGTATTTGTCTTCGTTTTGGTCATTCACAATTACTGACGAAACATCTTCGCCGACCGTCGGATCGAAATCCTCATCAGACCAGTCCGAAAAATCGTCCGGAACGTCGAAATTGTCTTCGCAAATATCAGCGTAAGTTTCAGGAGTTATCGCCGCCATGTTGGATAAGCACTGCCGGTCATGAACGCCCATGCGTAGTACCGAGGACGTCGCGCCCGAGGCGCAGCAGCGCCCGACCAAGCGCGCTAATTGGTGTTTAGATAAAGGTCGTAAAACAGAGCGATTGTGCCGCAGGGCAGTGTCGGCGATCATCCTTGTACTTTTGATGTCTTGGAGTTCGAACTCCTTGGGTCCTAGCTCTATGGTTATACAGGTACATGCATTTAGCAAATTGATGGGATCAGCCCTGATTCCAGATGGAGGGCCGGTCGCGAGACAGAACAGCGATACGCTTCAACGTCTATGTGTATTGAAGCAGTTACACTGTAGACAGCGATCATTGCTCCTTGGAGATGGTCCAGCTATAATCTATCAGGTCAGCCCCTCTAAGACCTAACCGTATGCTCCCTCAACTCCAACCATTTGACGTAAATGTTGTCTGCCGTCCTGGAAAAGAGATGTTACAACCAGACAGCCAGACGCACTCCAGTTACAGATGGCACCGGCATCGATCTTGATGTGCATGTGACGTTTGACAGGTTTACCCAAACACGTTTGTAAGGTTTACCCGGTGCATTGCAACAGCGCATTGCCTCAGACACAACCCTAACCAAGCTGAAGGATGTTATCGTAAGTGGATGGCCAGAACGACAAGATCTATCAAACGTTCCCTTTCACTACTGGCCTTTTAGAGATGAGCTGTAACGGCGAATACATCGTGATCACTGCTACATAGCAGCAGCATATTCTCTCTTAGCTACACAAAAGCCACCAAGGCAATGAAAAGACAAAACTGCGAGCAAAAGACTCTTTTTACAGGGTTTACATAACAAACGACATTCAATCACTGGAGAACCTCCCAATCAGCCTGCAGATGCAGAGTGCACAAGCTCGTGAAAATATACATTAAGTCTTAGGCACAGACTTGTACACCTTCGAGGGTGATAACTTTCTCATCATAGGCAACAACTGTTCAAAGTTCCCATTCATCAGAAAGTTTCCAACCGTGTACCAGCTCAGCAGTCGTCAACGCCAACGCCAGTCGTCAACGTTGTCAGCGACAACGCAAAACACTGCGATTCAGCTGACAACAAGAGCTTCTCATAAAGAAACCTGGGCTTTTGACCACATCACCTCCTCAACCCTATACCACCAAGTTTGAAACTGATTTTGCATAGATCGACTCAAAACTTGACATAGAACGAGACCACATTATAAATGTGTATTGTAAGTGCCGTCTTCATGACGTCATCGTGGGTCATGTGAGGTCAAAATCAATGTGCATTTTTCGAAGTCCTATATATTTAGAACTAAAGGATCAGATTGCATTTACACTGTGTCTGTGCTTATAGATAAGGATGTATTATAGATGTAAATTGAAATGACGTCATGGTAACGTCATCTCGTGATTTATATATGTTTCTGAATGTTTGAAGATTATCGCTATATCTCGCGAACACATGCTATTATTTTTGTAATAGGTTGTTAGGTCATAGATATTAGACATAGACCTCTAGTTTCCTTTTTTGTTCTAAAAAAAGCTTCTGTTTTAATGGAAAAACTCACAGTAATCAGGAAAAAATTCATATACATCAATCAATCAATCAAATCTTTACTTTTTCCCAACGCATACAAGTACATAATAATATTACTTTACATTTGAATTATTGTGTATGATACATGTATATCATATAATAAAATATAAATATTTAATCGATTTCAGTTTGGTTCCTGAAATGAACCTCAAATGCCCTTTATTGCAATCAAAATGTGTATGAAATAACCATTTACGCATAAAAAAGCTTAAAACGTGTAAGTTTGTAATTGGAGAAGAAGTAGATATTGTAGATAATTTTCCCCCAGTCTTTGCGAGGAATTTAAAACAGTACGCACAGTTCATTGTCATGTACAAACATGACATTTTCCCGTCAAGCCCTCCCTTTTTTTTAAGTGGCCACGAAAATGACACAAACACTCGAAGAAATCGTGGAAACATACAAATCTGTAAAATGGACGTAAAGCATTTCGAAGCTCTTTTCATATCACTTCTAGATCTTGAAACACCCAACGACATAATAAGAAATCCTTCTTAAATAAACAAACAGTATAATGAATCTATAAAAGCAGGGAATTTCTACACATTTCAAGTATCTGTTATTGACACATTTGAAAGTTAAAGTGTTAAGTTCAAAACAATGATATTAACTTTACTATTTTCCCTTCATGCAGTTCCTGCCATCAGTCTCACCATAGCTGTTGACGGTGTAGACCAATCCTCCGGTAAAACAGTGACCGTGACGGAGGATATTGCAGTCACACTTACCTGCACAGCACGGGGAGCAAAACCAAAGGTGTCTATAGACTGGTTTAACGGCGTCTATCGTCTGAGACCTGACACTGAAACGATTCCACCTGGTGGTGAGACAACAGATACACGGAGTACATACAAGCCATTCATACCAAGAAGAAATCATGATAGGCGCAGGATAAAATGTCGCACAATAGGACATCAAACTACCCAGTCGGAATTCATTACACTCGACGTTCGCTGTAAGTTACTTTTATTCTCATTTCCATTGTTAAATGGAAAAGTAAGGTAGCACTTTGAAAGTTTAACAAGAATGAAAGTTTGTATGAGCTTTGGTAGCATCAACTACTTCATCAGTTGAATACAGTCTAGTCTTTGAATAATACTTTGGTCTGCAGTTTGCCTATCCACTCTTGATTTGAATGCTATCTGAATGAGTACAGCTTGCTCAATATGTTGCCTGGTAAATTAAAATGTTGAGCAACAGGTTTCTGTATACTCTTGTTTGTGATGTCAAACTTTGCATGTTGAATTATAATATAGATTTTAAAATATTTAATTATTTTAACATACATGCACATGTGTATGGAAGCCCACGTAAACATTTTGTCAACATGATATCGTCGCGTCAGTGCAACAAGGTCGTTAAGAAAGTCGCATCTCGTGCGAATACACTCCGAGCAAGAAAACGCGTATCTCGTATTGTCCATTTGGACTATCAAATCTTACTGTCAATTCGGACTATCGAACCTTATTTTCCATTTGTACTATCAAACCCTACCGTATATTCGGACTATCGAGCATTAACAGCTATTCGGACTATTGAACCTTATTGTCAATTCGGACTATCGCAGCCTATCGTCTATTTGGGCTATCGAACCTTCGGACTATTGAACCTTCTGACTAACAAACCTTTGGACTATAATGACCCTTCAGACAAAAGAACCTTCAGACTATCGAACCCTTAAACTATCAGGCTGTAACCCCTTTAAATTATAGCCTTGAATTAGGATAAGCGGAACAGCACAGACACAGTGGCGGCACTACGGGGAGGGGGGGGGGGGGTGCATTTGGCCCCCAAATTGTTTCCTTGCCCCCCCATTTCCCCCTCCACATTTTACCCCTCCACGACCCCCATCCCCCGTCCAGTTTGTCCCAAACACTTTATCTAGATTAATATCGTTTGTTATCTTCGCTGTTAAGATTTATAACAAGTTGAAGACAGAGAGTAAATGATCATCGATTCTGTGGACATATTATGGGCCAAGGAAAGCATTTTTAACATTGGTACTTTGGCAGACAAAGCAAGCCAAACGTGCATTTATACAGCCGTAGATAGTGTGCACACGTCTTAGTACATTCGCTATACACCATTCTGCAGTTTGATACATTTTTCATTCAGAAAAACGACTACCTTCTTGTGGCTTATTTGCTGACCACTGACAATGGGTACGCGCGCGCGTACACAGGCTTTAAGTTGCCATTAATTTATTTATCATCAGATTTCATTTTGAATGTCCCCCAAAATATTTCCTTACCCAGCAATTGCCCCCACCCCCATTTTTGAGTCTGGTGCCGCCACTGCACAGATATGACATACATACACGACAAACGATCTCGAAGTTGCTGATTGGTATTTCTTTCCCCGTCTTGTATTGTTTTTTTCTATGTCATTGAAAACTGAATTTCGATTTTGAGTTATTTCAATTTTGTGATCCACCCATCCACAGTTTCGAGAAAAAAATCTGAATGGCCCCAAATGTCGAGAAGTGGCAGTTCAATTAATTAAATGTGTATTCTTTTTTTTTTTAAAAACAGTTTCTCCGGTGGTACTATATCTGACATACGTGGACGGAATCATCACTTGTGAAGCAGATGCCAATCCACTCAGACACGTTGAATATTACATCGTTCTAAATGGCACCAAGCCTAGCGCGCCTACGGGTAAAACCCTGGCATTTAATGTCGATGACAATTACTGCACAGAGGTCAGCTGTAATGTCACAAATGCGATTGGAACTGGATCACGGAAACTTGAAGAACCGCTTTGCCCAGGTGAGTTTTCGACAAATGTCATTAAAGAAATCAAATGTATTTGTTTTTAAAATTTTCTACAGCAGAAAAGCTTTACAAAATTGACCAAAAAGTCTGATGTTCCCAGAACAGCCAAGACTCAGGAAGCCCCTTTTTTATTTCAGAAAACACATTTACTTGTTCCATTAATTCAGATTTAAAAAAGCTTCTGTGACTTTTACGAAGCTCACAATAACCTAAAAACGTGATAAGAACTCTCTAAAGAAAACAGTGAACGGTCATTTCTGTTATTCCAGCAACCTTTATTTAAATATATTACAATCAAGATTACTGGTTTTTTTTCTATTGCAAAGGTGGATGCAGCCTGACCCGTAACTTTCATAATCGGCCCATATTTTTCAAACGAAAGCTTGAAGAACATTGATTTAAAAGATATTCTGTTTTTTTTTTAAAGGGGGATGCCACATTTCCACCTATCACATGTGGGCGCTTGGCACTTTTTCACCTCAAATTACGTTAAATGAAGTGACATATTCTAAAAATATATATTTAGTACAGAGAAGGCTTAAATGTTCAGGAATGTAATAAAATTGAATGTGTGAATTTTTTTTTACAGTCTCTCCTGTGGTAACATCCCTGACATACAGTGAGGGAATAATCATTTGTAAAGCAGAGGCCAATCTAATTAGACCCATTGAGTATTATATCATTCTAAATGGCACCAAGCCTAGCGCGCCTACTGGTAAAACCCTGGCATTTAATGTGGAGGACAATTACTGCACAGAGGTCAGCTGCTATGCCACAAATGTGATTGGAACTGGGTCACAAACACTAGAAGAACCGCTTTGTCCCGGTGATTTTTGTCGAGTCTATTTTAAAAATGAAATTATGTAACCATTATTTTTTAGAATTTTTTACTTCTATAATGCATTCTACTGAGCATCTGTATATAGTTGTGTTTTTCTATACTTTTCGCATTAATTGTTTCATTCGGGTTTTAAAACCTGAGTCTATGAGACACTCATTTCGTTTTGAACATTTCCATAAAACCCCCGTCAGAAATCGCTGGCATTGCCGTTCTTCGTCAAGGCCTTTCTGTAAGGCAAAATAATGAATTCGAGATTGGAGTTTTCTTTTGGAATTCACTACATGATCACATTTCTCTCTTATAAAGGCTTCGTATATTATCGGTTTACATTTAAATTTTATAGCTCCTGTATTGCTACTGACGCCCGAAGGTGCAATTAAAAGCACCAGTACTTTAGACACCTCGAGGAAGCAAGGTAAGTTTTACAATATTCAAACTTAATTAAATCGAATATATTTAGTTAGCCCATACAACATGATCATTCACTTTATTACCTCACTTAATTGCGATGTGAAACATGCAGTTTACAATGGCACATCACGGTAACGAAAAGTTTCGCGCCTTTTTTAGTTTCAAAACGTTTTGCTAGTATATGTTCATTTAGATGCGGTTAATTTACTGAAATACGGGGCATTATCAGCAACCAGGCCCCAGGCCGGTTTAAAGCATACTTGTTTAAGTCCAGCCTAGCACATATTCAATTCCCATTCAGGAAGGTAAAAAGGTATATTAAAAGAGAAAAACATTAAACATTTCCAACGATGTTGTTCAAAAATTTGAAACACTTCTCTAGCTATGTGTCTACGCCAGTAGTACTAAAAAAAAATATCTCCTTATATGGAGATTATGGGCGCATGGCGCGTACTGTGCTATGTGGCCGGGAAGTGTGAATTTAGCACTGCATGAAATACGGCCTCATTAGTAGTATTGCGTAAAGGAACACTAATGGATGCCCCCAATTGGGTCACAAAAAGTGTTTTAAACGAAATGATATTAATTGGAAAGTATTAAAATTATTGATTTAAAACTATTTAAAACTATCATTTAAAACTATGATATAAACGTCTGTCAACCATCTTTCCAAAACTCGGCGTTTTTGTGTTATTCTTGGAAGAACGAATTTGGGGGGTCAAATGTTGAGTCTCAAAAATCGGGCTGTTTGGTGCAAGTCGTGAATCCTCCTACACACGTTCCACCAGTGCATTGCATTATGCAGACGTGCAAGAAACAACACTTGTGTTTCAGTGCTTTGTGTATTATGCATAACACACAATGTGTACCGTACAATGAATGGACACCACTTGAAAAACCTATGCGTATACCGAAAATATCCGCCGCTTGAGAAGTCAACTGCTGGTCTTTCTCGGGAACTGTACTTAGTTTCCTTTCAACCAGACCGTTGAAATTTGATAAATAAGCAATCTAAAACATACAGATTTCAGGGATTTCAGGGATTTAACCCTCCGACGCAGAAAGCCCATTTAGTAACACACTTACAGTAAGGGGTCCCCCGGGGACCCAAATATTTAGCGCCACGGTTTGAGGCTACACAACACGGTATCCACTTGAACACAATCTTGCCATGTCTGTAGACTAAGGAGGTGTATTTGTATACATAGTCTGTGGTCAAGCCGTGCACTGTCTACCCGCAAGTGACCTTGTTTGTGCACGTGTATATGGTGGGTCCCCAGATGGGCAGAAATTGCATCGGTCCTTAGCCCAGGTTGTCATGCTCAGATATGCCTGACCCGGGGTCACACACTAAAGGTGACTGCATATATCCGTAGAGGGTGTTTCTTGCTAAGATTAGATGGAAGATCACCAGAATTGGTTTGAAATTTTTTTTTAAATTAAAGTAATTAACCAAAGTGGGTCCCCAAAAGGGCTAGATTCTGCGCCGGTTAAGGGATTATTGTGCAAGTTTAACCAAGAGTAAAAAGGACCAGATCTTATAGGAATGTAAATTTCATGTGAAAAACGGGAAAGTTTTATAACCAGCCAGTCGGTGTTTGATCAACCGTTTGAAACCACCCACCGGCGGGCTGTCAATCAATAAGATGAATATTTAATAAGGGCCTATAAGTGAGTCTGCAAGATGTATATGTAGCAAGGGATAATACAGGCAAAATTTTCTAATTTATGACGAAACTGAGATATGCTCATATTGTCCTTAAGCTTCCTCTCCTGTAGGCATCATTATTGGCCTTGTATTGGCAGCCATTGCCATTGTGGCCGTCGTTTGTGGTCTTGCTATTGTCTTATGGAGACGTCATCATAATCAACAACAAAGACAGGGACCATCGGAAACCGACGAACAAGATGGCGTGTAAGTTAAAGTTAACGGCTACAGTGAGACAGAGATTAATATTTACTGTGAAACCGTAAGATGTGATTTCCCGTCAAAGAAGCTTTGTGATAGGCCTGCATAACATGCTTTTTAAAGTATATTAATTATTGTCATTCTACAAACATATGTCTATTGTCGCACCCTGGCTGACAGAGAAAAAGTACCCATCTGTCAAAAGGGCTGTTTCTGTAATTTAGAAACCCTGTTGTGGAAAGCCCACTATTAACCTACCGAGTTTAAGTATAAAACAATAACATTTAACCTGTTTCATGAACAATCCATTAGCACCTGTTCGACATTACATTACTTCAGGCGCGGTTCTTAAATTTTTGTATTTGTATTTTTATTTGTATTTGTATATTTTCATTATTTTTTTTTTTATTATTATTTTTTATTTTTTTGGTGGGGGGGGGGGGCTAGCAGGCTGGATCAAGATTTTTTTTGCAGGGAGGCGTGCTGAAATGTAGACCGGTCATTTTCTCCGGACATTTAGGCCTACGAAAATCAATAGTTGTATGTGTGTGTGTGTGTGTGTGTGGGGGGGGGGGGGATCCTAAAATCATGCACACTATATTAACTAATAGTGTACAACTGCATCCTTCTCACAGCTATTTATTTAGCGGGAGACCGTTCGCATGTGACGTCACATTCTAACATTTTGCTACCGCCAGCCCCCCCCCCCCCGAAGCGCCACTGCATTGTCTTGTGATTATTTACAGAAGAATCATTAAAGCCAGAGAGTGTTTCGGGCATTACAGACTACAGTGAGTAATGAATGGAGCACTTTAAAGCGCTACACAGACAATGGGTTGATGTCTGTCGATGTAACATTATTTCCCTTTCAGAAATAACGTTGTATTACAAGAAGCAGACAGTGACATCTCACCACTGCCTGTCAGTGATCACCAACATCCGAATGGTAAGCGCCAGAAAAACGAAAAACCATAGGACGAATTAAATTGAGAAATATATGATAAAAATGTCTAATAATTAATAAAAGGGCCTATTGTTCCTATCATAGCAAAAATGTAGATCAAATCTGACTCCGATCCAGGTCGAATCCGACTGCGACTTCGGATAGTAAACCTGTGCAGGGAATTAGAACATCGAATTATTGTTGGTATGTTCTGCAATAGGTGAGCATTTTTAAGTTGTACTTGCCATATGTATGTCTCCAATTTAATTTTCAAATCCTGTGAATCTAAAAATGTGTTTCAGATATTCCACTGCACCAAATTGCCACAGCAGTGGTACGCGAGAGTGTTCCCAATAAAGACGGCGTTGAGCCGGAAGCATCAAACGACGTGGAGTACGGCAATGTAGGAACGGAACTCTCTTTCTCACGAGATCTCGTGGTGATCGAGCATGAGCTGGGACAAGGGCAGTTCGGCAGAGTGCTTTTGGGAAAGGCACTTGGGATCGAGAAAGCCGGGAAAGAAACAAAGGTTGCTGTCAAGACTGTGAAAGGTTTGCTGAAAATGTCATTTATCAAATCGGGGCTTTGCGCAGTGGAGATATTTTTATGTAATCTCATTGTTATTATTTTTCTCATAAGTTATTTGTCTTGAGGACAATCAAAGAGAAATAATAAAATAGTTGATTAAACACATCTGATTCTTTACATAATCACATGTCCCTTCATTCACTTAAATTGGTACGGTATATCTGTAATACTTTCCAGTAGATTGATCTGATTACTTGTAGGTGTTGATGTAAAGCACCTTGAGAGCTTCTACGGTCCTGAAATGCACTATAGAATAACGTGTTATAATAAGGTGTTGGGCCTGAGCCCAACACCTATTGTTATTTTGTGAATTTACTTTTGTTACTGTTGTTATTATTCTCCTCAGCACATTCTTCCCAGGAACAGTTTGTCAACATGGAAAATGATAAAAACTTAAATTGTCAATACATGAATGCACAACCCGCTGAAGATGATTTTTTTTGTAATTACATCATCATGACGTCATCATGGGTCACGTGACGTCACTTCAAAAATAATAAATTTAAACTTTGAAATTTAATATAAAATCAACCGTCAGAGACCGCAACTTGAATTTTGCAGGAATCGACATGATTAAACATGACTTTCAATTTATCTTGTGCGCGTCAAATCACGTGACCCTTCCTTCCGGTCGAAACCGGAAGTGCGTAATAATTTGAAAGTGGAAAAAGATATGAACTTGCTTTTAACAATGTAAGTGTCTGCCTGGATTGACCTTTCAAAAAAAAAGATGGTTGACCCCATGAGGTTGGAGCGCGCTCTAGCGGCAGGTTTAAAAATGTGCAAAACGCATTTTCAGTTGATGTCTGTGGCGAAACCTGCGGTAATCGCTTCAAATTTAATATACATGATGACCTCAAGGCAGACAAGACCTGTGCGTGAAAAAAATGATTACATCATCAGACCGGAAGTTACAATGAAAAGACCTGTTTTCCTTTGAAAATTGTTAAAAAAATCAACCGTCAGAGATATAATCAAGTCTTGTGCTTTAAATGGCACTTTAATAATAGATCTAAAACTTCCCAAGGTTTCGTTACAATACGTTAACTAGAAAATGCCCTGCAGCCCCCTTGAAATTTGAAGTTGAACATCCCGACGCCTTGAGACGCTCATTTAATGCCACGTACATTGTGTGTACAGCAATGGGCGATGATTGCGTACAAAAGGGGAAATCCCGGAAAACAGTGCGCCGTGATTGCATACAAGGGAATTCCCTGTGCTCGCTCTTTGAGTGTCTGGTGTTACGACTGTTGTATGTTAAGGGGACACTAGGTCCTGGAACAGCCCAATTTGGCTACAAAACGCGCTTTGAACGAGATAATGTTAATTGGAAATAACATTTAAAAGTAGGATATAAACATCCACACAACTATCCTTTTAAAACTGTGTGTCATTCCTGTATTATGTGTGCGAGAACGAATTTCGGGGTCCACTTTTGCGACCCCATCAATTCGAGCTGTTTAGATGTTAGTTGTGATTTCATTCGTAAAGTGTTCGCTTTTGCAGACGTTGAAGAAACCGTTTTTTTTTGCATTGGTGATTGGTCACCACTGTTCCCAAGACACACAACGTGTATATCGTACACTGAGAACGACACGAAAAACGTATTCGTACTCCGTCATGTCCGATGTAAACAAGCAATTTTTTTTCGTCTTTTCTCGGGAACGGTAAAACATTAGGTTGGTTTCCTTTCAACCAGACGTTTGAAATAGGATACGTAATCAATCCAAAACATGAAATTTACGGGGATTTCAGGACCTAGTGCCCCTTTAACTATTGAGCTACATGTATAACGGCTGTTTGACTCTTTTTAACTATCCTCTGCACACGCGCTATTTTTCAACCCTCAACCCTCAACATCAATATCAACAATCAACAATCAAAATTAACATCAACATCTACATCAACAATCAACGTCAACGTTAACATCAACAATCAACGTGAACATCAACAATGGCCCAACACCGTGTGGTTGTTCCTACAACCTCTAGTTATTCTATGAATTTACTATTGTTATTCGTGTTATTATTCTCCTCAGCAAATTAAGAACTGTTTGTAAAAATGAAAACATATAGGAACTTCAATTGTCAATACATAAATGCACAACCAACTGAAGAAGAATTTTTTGCAATGACGTCATCATGAAGTCATCATGTGTCACGTGACGTCACTTCAAAAAGTAATGAATTTTAATCTTTGAAATTCCATTCAAAATCGACCGAGAGAGACCGCAACTTGAATTTTGCGGGAATCGACATGATTGGACAAGACCTTCAATTTATCTTGCGTGCGTCATATCACGTGACCCTTCCTTGTGGTAACGAATGCATGGTCAGCAATATATTGTATCGCGCCAATGGTGTGCCATCTTTACTTTAAGAAATATGAGCTATTTAATGGGTTTTTGTAACGATTGTACTTGATATGTTTACACTACAGCAGCATGTGCGCGTGCAGATCCTCACCTGACTCTTTTAAACTATCCTCTGTATAATTACTACACGCGCTATTTTTCAACCCTCAACCCTCAACATTGACATCAACATCAACAATCAACATCAACATTAACAATCAACAATCAACATCAACAATTAACTTTCAATAATCAAACAATCAACAAATAATATCAACAATCAACATCAACAATCATTAATCAACATCGTTAATCAACATCATTAATCAACAACAAAAGTCAACATCAACAATCATCAACAATCAACATCAATAATCGTTAATTAACACCAACAATCAACCATCAACAATCAACAATCGACTTCAACCTAAACAACCACCGTCAAATTCAATCAACAATCAACATCAACAATCAACAATCAACAATCAACATCAACAGAAACAACCAATTATGAACATCAACAATCAACAACAACAATCAACAATGCAAAAAAGCCAAACCTCTAGCCTAACACCGTGTGTTTGTCCCTTCAAACTCTAGTTATTATTATTAATCCACTAAATGTACCATTAAGGAGACATGTTATCGTACTTTCTTGGAACGGTTAGATACATCGGTCATTGTGAGACATTTTCATGTCTCCCTAATGTCACAGCCTCCCTTTTGAGGCAAAATTTTAGTGTTGCAATTAGGTTATATTTGTTGCTCGTGGTCTAATTATTAAACATACCGAAATTTACATTGGGCACATTTTAGTTTGAAACATTTTGTGCACAAGTCTATGGGGATGTCTCCCAAATGTCCAATTCAAGGAGAAGTGCACTCAAAGTCTATCTTTGCAATATAACCAACAATGGGATTATCGGAAAAGTGTCTTGTCTTCTTTGACACACTGCTAATATATGGTATGAACCCCCATACCCCTTAAGCTTAGCATGCGTCTTTCCACTGGATCTTCTAAACTTTAGATTGTCTTTGGCTTTGGTCCATTGGTCCCTGTAATTTGTAAATCGACACAAAATAGGTCTCTTCTCTTTCACAAAGATACAGTCCTGTAACATAAGGCCAAGGCGTCTAATGGTTCCATTGGACGCATATTGGCTTTCATATGATTCTGGGGTCCTAAAGCTGAGGTCTGATAACCTCTTATTTTTGGATTAATCGCCTCATCAATTTATAGAAGGCGCCGATAGACACGCCAAGAACGAGCTTGTGGCCGAGTTGCAGGTGATGAAAACAGTCGGCTCTCATCCAAACGTGGTCAAGTTGCTGGGATATTGTGCAGAAAAAGGTATATCACAGTTTTAATGAAAAATCACACTTACCGCAAAAAACTACATGACTAAAACTACACACAAAACGGGGATGGGGGACGGTGAAACCCATCATTTCGAGAAGATCATCGTAGGCTTAAAGTTCCCACTTCAGTTTTCATTGGAGTGTTCCCTATTCAAAGTATCAAAGTGATTCTCACTAAACAAATCTGGCCGCAAGTTGGTCTCGCGCTCTAGAAGACCATAAGATTACAGGCAGGTACAAACAAAATAAGTGTGGCTGACGAGCCATTTCTGTGATTTATTCTAGATCCGGTGTACGTCATCGTTGAGTACCTTGCTAAAGGTGACCTGAAGAAAGTTCTAATGGATTATCGAGAGAAGGACACAGGGGCAGGCTACCCCAACCTACCCGGCGTGAGCAAATCACTGTCTAAGACATTGGTCAAGTTTGCCAGGGATGTTGCAAATGGAATGGCTTACATATCCTCGCAAAAGGTAATTGATACACGTGGTCATTGTAATATCGATTTTAGAAACACAGTAGTCCGAACAAGTAACCAAGCGCCCAATGCGCACTTGAATGAACTCCAATCTGAAGGGGTACAGAAAACATTATTTGTGCCAATCACTCCATGCTCGAGCATGGATGCTTGCAGATTAGGTCAAGTATCGCATTTTCCTCTACAGCAGTGTTCAGACGGTGGGCTATCAGTGTACAGGTCCAAGCGCCCCTGTGCTTGTCTCTTCGCGTCCCGTTACAGGGAGTGCATTACTCCAAAACCTAATACTGGCAACTCTAGTAAAGCTTGTTTCAGACTACTCTGTCAGTGACATGTGTAACCTAAGTCACAGTTAATTATTTATTTTTTATTCTCAGTATGTGCATCGTGATCTTGCTGCTCGTAACGTGTTGGTGGGGGATGACCTGGTGTGTAAAGTGTCTGACTTTGGACTGGCCCGTGACGTCATGAACACCCGTATCTACCAACGAGAATCACAGGTACCACACGAATTCAGTGGTGTCTATATAGTTCCGTCCAAACAAGACATCGTCAATGTCCAATATTCCAACGCTGTATATTTGATACAAACCGCACAACTGTCGAACCACAGCACTTCTATATCACCTATTTAGCTTATTAATAATATCAACCTAGCTCTTGAAAACTGACAACAGTCACAAACAATGTACCTTTTTGCAGGGTCCTCTTCCCATCCGCTGGATGGCGTTGGAATCCATTCTTGATGACGTGTACACAACAAAGAGTGACGTATGGTCTTTCGGGATTCTGCTGTGGGAGATTGTGACACTTGGTGAGTTACAAGACATAGGTTCTACAGTTGGCCGTCCACTTTGGATGGATGTGTAAAATAGATAAGGGAGGTCTCCCTAAAATGTTTGAGTATTAACAAAAGGGTGACAATATGAGGGCCATTGTTGAAGGTGTTTACACACGTGTTTGTGGAACGGTTTCATTTGTCACAATAAAGATTTCAAACCATGTAGGCTGAAAACCTATACCGTGTTGAGTCTCTACAGTCCAATGTTTAAATGCACCTCTATTTCCGACAGGTGCGCGGCCGTATCCGCTGCTGACAGCAACGACAATGATAAGCAAACTACAGCAGAGCTATCGTATGCCGAAGCCTCGACAATGCAAGAAAACGCTGTAAGTATTGTCGGATTGTGCGGAACGCTCGGAATAATTCATGTTTTATGTGGTTCTCCCTTGAAGATAGGAATTTGAGAGTAGACATGGAGATTGAAATATATTGTGTTTTTTCTTAAACCATTATCACATATTGCAGGTACAAAATGATGTGCAGCTGTTGGAAGGAGGTTCCCAAGGATCGACCCAGCTTTCAGAGTCTGTATCAGCAGTTGGACGACATGGTGTCTGAAGATCAGGTTAGTGGAACACAAATTGCAAAGTATTTCATATCAGCATTAAGATCGGACGTTTCTCTCAGTTACCACGAGACTTGGCTCGACACAACGCTGCTAAAGCGGAGGGCCTGCAACTTTAATGTTAGAAACAAAAATGTACTGCCCTGACCCAGCGGAGGCACATAAGGTCGGCGTGTTTCTCCTTTAAGAGTTGCATAAAATGACAGTGACTATACATATACATATATATGTATAAACATGTTTCTCCTAAATGAGATCAAAATCTGCTCCGTCGGTTTTACTCCTGAGCTCATAATAGTAGTCATTTATACTCGTGAGTAAAGACAGGCAAGTGGAGTGAAGTGACTTGCCAAAGAAAAAATAAGACGGCTACTGGAACCAAAATTCTAACCCTTTGGTCATGAGAAGAGATGTAAAAATCCACAAAGCAGGATACCAAACAGATATGCATGCTGCGTTGGATCTTGGACAAATTTAAGACACTTAATTTCTTTTTAGTAAACAAAAGCAATAGTTTAGCTGTACCAGAAACGAAATATTTACTAAGCCTACATTGTGGGCTGCAACGGGACCAAATTGTACACTTTTTGACTAAATCATGAAACTTCACAGGTAAGGTCTTTATGCCATGAAGATTTTTTTTAAGATGTAGAAGCATTCCATATCTGACCTCTGATGACCTGTGAAAGGTCAATTACCTTTACATACTCGATTAATAGTTATCGTTCTTGGAAACGCCACTTTCCTATGACCCAGGTCTAGGTCATATATCTTTATTCCATGAAGAACGTTTTCAGATGTGGGAAAATTTTCATACCTGACCTACGGTGACCTTCATTAGGTCAATGAGGTCAATGACATGTGTACAAGTTTTTTTTTCTATTTATAATTATTTAGACGATTTTAGAAGTAAATCTTTGGTTGTGAATCAACAAATGAGTATAGAATGATAGTTGCAATATATATATGTATATTTATATATATATATATATATATATATATATATATATATATATATATATATATATATATATATATATATATATATATATATATATATATATATATATTACCATTGAAAATGGGCCATGAAAATGTGGGTTTGAAGAATAAATATGATAAATAGCAACAGATACGGTATTTAAAGTTCTTTAACCCTAAAGGGGCCGGGGGGGGGGGCGGAATCCGCCCCCCCTCAACATTTTCCGCGATAGCTTCTAAAAAGAATTTTTTCGCGACCCGAGCTGTTATGACTTTTTAGCCTCGAGCTTTGCGCATCTTTTGATACCAAAAACATAAAAATCGGACCACGGGTTGGCACGTAGCGAAAAATTTTCCGGCGCTACGCGCCGTGAAAACTGAATTTTCGCATATACGTCGTGTACACCGAGCAGAATTGCCATTCATACATATGAATAATTAATTAGCCATAATTCAAAAACCCTTTGACCTATAGTCATGAAATTTCTTGGGCATGTTTAGGAAGAGTTGCTCTATGCATGTGCTGAGTTTCAAAATTTTTCGTCACTCGATGGCCCAGATCTTAGGGGGGGGGCGGAATCCGCCCCCCCCCGGCTGAGAGATGGTCAAAATAACCCGGCCCCTTTAGGGTTAACCTCTCGAATGTTACCAGAGGTTAAACATAAAATGCCCCAACATCTGAAAATTCTTTACCTGACACGAATTAAGAACCAACTTTTAGGCTCGGATTATTAAAAAAAAGGTGTTTTGAATGGCAATTCTTAAAAATATCTATAAATGAAGTATATATAAATATCATGACCTCTCGAAGGTCACCAGAGAGCGGATATGAAATGTTCTACACATACGAATTCCTCTCAGAGCATGATGGGCACCTTGCTATTGCTATTAACATGTAAATGCGACTCATGAAGTGTATGTTTTTTTTCCAATATTTAACAGGATTACATCACCATGGGCAACCTGGATAAAAGGATCTACGAAGTGAAAATCGTGGAAGGCACGAAAGAAAAACTGTGAGAGTAGACAACAAGGTCTTGCGGGGAAAAAACAATTAAATGTTGTTGGCTGGAGTCGCTGACTCGGAATCGAGTCGGACTGGAGTCGCTATTTTTGTGACTTGAGACTTGACTTGACTTGGGAAAAAATGACTTGAGACGACTTGACTTGAAAAAATATGACTTGAGACTTGACTTGACTCGAATAAATTTGACTTACTGACATTAACACGTTTCTTAAAAAAACCCCACAAACCTCTGGGCGTTTGTGCGCACTAGCATAATCGGTTGAAAAGAATGCACACAGCGAATCAGCAACCAGCACGCAATAGTTTGGCATCCTACATGACTATAGCACTATGCATCTATTATGGACAACGTGTCATTCTGGACCTCGTGCATGCGAATATTGTCAAATATTGTGTGTCGCTTCACAACAAAGTTAACGCAAAACCGAGACAAAAGCATGCATTTGCCAATAGATTTTAATAATAACAGGCCCTGTGATGTTGAGGCTTTCCGGTACCAATACTATGGATACATGATATCCAAATAAACATCACTGTGCAATTCCTTTTTTTTCAATATTTTGAATGAAAGCGAAACTATAATTTGACAGTCTGAATGGCTACACAACTGTAAAATGGACAACAGGAGACTTCATCTCACTAACATTTCTGGTTAAGCTAGTGTAAACAAAAACTAGGTATCAAATTATTAGGAAACCAATGGCAGGAAGTTAAATTACGAGATACTGAATTGATAACAATTGCTTAAATTGATGTTAACCGTGTCTTTAGATTAAACACCAATACTATAGTTCTCACATACGCACTGAAATATGTCATTACATGCTGTTAAGATATTTCCATTTTTGTAATACGATACATAGTTTACGCAGATGTGTGTTGTGAAGTAGTTATGTTATTAATTCAAACGGGTAGACTGGTAGTTTTGTGATGGTGGGGTACTTTTTGTGCCTGAAGGTGGTTCTTGATCAAATGAAGGTAGTTCTGGATGAAATGCCCGCCCCATGCCCCTCCCCGAAAAAAAATAATGAGGAACACTACCTGTTCTTTGCATAAACAGAATAGACCGAATTCCTCATCTCATAGAATGAATACCAATAAACTGTTTTTGTTGTCTGGCTGATGTACTACCGCAGTTCTCAAGAAGTGCAAAAAAACTTTGTAAAATAACCGATTATTTTTAGATTTTGAGTTATTCTCGCCTTTTTATATTTATACAATTTTACCAATTGTTGAAGCGAAATGTATTTGCTTTCTTAATGATCGAAATTGGACATTTGACAAAAATGTTCCACTCCATTTTCGTGCTAACGAAGCGCCGAAGAGTTTGTCTCCTATTAGTGTGAACGTAAACTGTGTGTTATGCGCCTCCAATATTCACACAATGTGACCACAAATCAGACGGATTTCAATTTAACATTTTAACATCTCACAGTGCTAATCCATTGTACCAACTGAGAACCAAAGGTTGCCAATTTTAAATTCGTCAAAAGAAGGGCCAGGGATGATACATGGCAACATATAACACTATGTGTATGTATATTTTATGTAGAGGTTGACGACTTTAATTAAATTTAAATTGAAGAAAAGGAAACAGGCAGTGTTAATATGCTTATAAATGTGTAATCACCTTTTCCTAATTTGTAGTGATAAGTACTGAATTATTATAAACAGTCTTTACATGTTTAATCATAGAAACTGATAATCAAGATACCAATTTTGTGTTTTAATGAAAAACATATACTCGGAATGCATGCTAAAATTATTTAGTAATTACTTTCAACAAATATATATATATATATCGTCGGTCGCACCACGAACCGGCGTATCTCGATTTTTTGCCAAATTGAGTTTTTGTCATTAACGTTATTATTTCATCAAAGTGCTCATTCTTAGAAAGTTTTATTCCGATCGGAGTTCTAATTAATTAAGAACGCTAACCAGATTGTGCGGCGTATCTCTAAAAAATGAAAAATGCTGCATCACGAAGTGGCGTATCCCGATACGCCGCTTTACACGCTAATTCCCATAGTGCTATGACGTCACGAAGCAGCGTCGACATGAAAAATTGGAATTAAGCGTTTCACGAACCGACGTATCTCTGTATCTGGCACACGGCCACTATTACGCGTGTTGTATAACATAGGAAAACATGATAACAATCTGTTTCACAAAGTGACGAATGAACTTTGGAGCAGAATTTCTCAAAAACTTAGCAACTCAGATGCACACGGATTGCATATAATAAAGTTCTATCTATAATTTACTAGCAAAATTGAAACAGCTTGAATTCTTACACAGATAGTATGTGGAATGAACCTACAAAATAATGGCCAACTTTAAATCGGTTTTTCTCGAAACACAAAAAAATGCAATACGTCGGTTCGTGGTGCAACCGACGATATTAACCCTAGTGTTAGTAATTCTCTTAAATATTAATAAATATGTGTGTGTGAAATCATCGCCTGTCCCAATTTGCCCAAAACCATGACAACCTTTAACACTAGGTTTTGTTTTTCAGATGTTGATGAACTTAAAAGCTAAGGAGGACATAGTGAGTATACATCCCCCCCCAAGAAAAAAAAAACTGGAGAAAAAAGTTCAGCAGACAGAAATGGGGATTAAATATACCCCTTCTTAAAAACTTGTCATATTTACCAAATCTGTAGTGATTAGCTTAAAGTTATCAATAAAGGTCTAAAAGTCTTTTTAATCATGGAAACTGATAGTCAAGATGTTAATTTATCATTTAATTGAACAGCATATACTCAGAATGCATGCTCAAATTAACGAGTAATTTACTCTAAGCATGATTCTTAATATATAGTTATAAGTAAACCCATATACAAATATGTTTGTGTATGGAGTTCACTGCATGGCCCATTTGCCTGTAATTACTAAGCAAATTATATATGAAATGTAGAGTTATTACTGTTTGCATATAATGCACTGTATGCCCCTGCCCCTTAGCAAATTTACAGTTATTAATCTTCGCAAATAGCTTTTCGTAACCTGTAGCAAACACATATCAAACACATATCAAATGTAGCGTTAATAATGTTCGGATATAATTAACGTTTTGTGTATGACATTTACAGCATGCCTAATTCCAGGAGCAAATCTAGAGTTTCTAATGTTTGAAAATATTAATGTTTGTTTATGGACTCCATCGCATGGCCCCATTCGCCTAAACTCATGACAACCAATTACACAAGGAATGTCAATTTCTTATAAACTTATGAGCGTGTAATCAGCTTCTTATAAACATGTAATTTTATAAACGTGTAATCAGCTTCGTATCAACGTGTAATCAGCTTCGTATAAACGTGTAATCTTATGAACGTGTAATCAACTTCTTATAAACGTGTTATCTTATAAACGTGTAATCAGCTTTTATAAATCCGTGAGCCTACTGATTAGTATTGACAAGTTCAGTATTTACAAGTACTTAATCGTAGATCTTGATAGTCAAGACAACAACTTGATCATTTGATTAAAAAGCTTAAACTCAGAATGCATGCTAAAATTTCTGATCAACCTTTTTAGCATAATATTAAATATATAGAGTTAAGTGCACACATGTAAGAATATGTTTGTGTATGAAATTAACTGCATGGCCAGAAAATTGGCAACGGATAACACTCTGTAGTGTGTTAAGAACTTGATTAATTGTCGAGCCACTTGAACCATAATGTGCAGATACAGTGTGTGCTGAAATAAAAATTACCTATTGATTGCTTTGAGCATACAGTCAATGTTATATTTATCTTGAAGAACTACAGCTTCCTACGTATAATTGTCGCCAGTTGCTTTGTATAACAGTTTGGCGGGGGAAAGTATTTTCAAATTTGGTCATGGAGTTATGAGTAGGATGAGCAGGGAAAAGAGTAGGATGAGCAGGGAAAAGAGTAGGATGAGCACGGAAAAGAGTAGGATGAGCACGGAAAAGAGTAGGATGAGCACGGAATAGAGTAGGATGATGTTTTAATGAGAAATGACGTCAATAAAGCAATAATGTCATAACGTATGTACTTTCTGCAGTTGTATATTTCTTTGTTTGTGTTGTCTTATCAATCGGAAAAGCTAACTCTCAGTCATAAAATTAGTGCTTGAACACGCCCTCTAAATAACCCCCGTAAACTGGTCGTAAATGAAACAGTCATCCTCGATTTTGTAAACAAATCCGGCACGGAGGTACAACTAGGGTTCGGTGCATTCCTATACAGACAGCGTTAAAGGGGCACCGTTTTTCCCGTCGAATGCCAATCCCCCCACCCCCTCAACACCCCCCCCCCACAAAGTGGTTTCTCACACGCCCGCAAAAAGACGACCACGTTACGATTGAATTTTTAACTATGGATAGGCTATAGCTTGGTTTTGGGGTCGTTCTAGTCCTAAATATTACAAAATGCACAGTTGTAAAGGATGGTTGTGCTATTCCGATACACTAGCTCAATCGGGCACTTTCCAGGCCGTAATTCCCTTTAAAACCACATGCCCGCACGTTTTGGTATGGCTTTATACCACTGAATCCATTTCTTATTGTACGCGCATCTGCTGACTATAGAGCCTAATCGATAATTTAGCCGTCACGGATTAAGAAAACTTGAGCGCTATCTGATCGGACGGCCGTAATGTATACAGTAGGGTGCATGTGTACTAGCATTTGCTCTGGCTGATGCCAAACCCTTCCCTTTTCTACGATCACCGCGCACAGACATATATTTTTACTTGGATGATTCTGGTGGCAGTGTAGAAGAGTGCCATTGGTATTGTATCGATTAACAAGAGGAATATAGGCGCACGGACGGAGTTATTTATTTGCTCCAGGATCGGTGCGATCATTGAGGGGTGATCGACCACCGGTCTCCGTACAGACGCATGGATTATGGATCGTGGATTTATCATATACCCCCATGGCCGACACAGGTTGTACCCTGCAAATATGCTGCGGTGAGTGTTTGTTTATACCTTGGAAAACGCAACGTGCACA